GAAGAAGAAAAAGAAGAAGAAACGTTAGCCCTTCGTCTTTCCCGCCCGCCCACTGTTTTTCTCCAACGCTCAGGATGTCTGAAAATCCAAATCCTTTCCAAGCTCTCTTCCAAACTCTTGAAAATGTATCAAATTGTGTACAAACCCATCTCTCAAATTTCATAGGTCATCCTCTCCATCCATCACCCACCAACAGGAATCCCCTCTTCTCTCTTTCATCCTTATCTTCCTCGTCCAAGGTAAACCCATCACCGAGGACTGATGCAGCTGCGCATGTTATGTACGAGGTAACTTGCTTTTATTCGGATTAATATATAACTCAATTGCTTGATATATGTCTGAAGCCAACAGCTTTTTGGGTGTTTTCTGTTTTGGTTGCTTGCTCTTGCTCATCAACTGTTTGACAAAAGCTCTGAATGAAAAATATCCTTTGAATTTTACTTACTAGTAAGGCCACCTTTTGATTATGTTTGCAATTTTGCTTAAGTGGGAATAATATGTGCTTAAAGAATAGGCTTAATCAATTTTTAGTTGGTTGCCATTATTTTTGTAGGCATATGAAGGAGAAGAAGAGAAACTAATTTATAGTGTACGATTGATTTAATTTGATTGTTCTATTTTAATATTTAATTTTTATGAAATGAGCCAGTAGAAGTCCTTGATTACTTTTGTAGTCTATTGTAGTCTATTGCTGTGGACCATTGAGATGGAAACTTTGGATGGTAGAGCTTTCTCTGATGTTGATCATATTGAAGAAAAGAAGAAAAGAGAATGGAAACTAATCAAAACAATATTGTTCATAATTCTTTCTCTACTCTCAGATATTGTGCTCGTTGAGCAATTAGAAGTCTAATTTCTTCTTTTTTTCTTATTCCTTCTGCTTCATTTGCTACTACATTAACCATAATACAAATTAGCTGAATAAGAGTGGCAGGTTTCTTTTTTAAGGTAATTTCCAGACTTACAATGTTAAGAGAGAGTAATTTATATAATCCTTGGAATGCACCATCACTGTTCCAGAAGTTCTATAGTATCAAGTTTCCGTTTTTTTTTTTTTTTTTTTTTTTTTTTTTTTTTTTGTTGTGATTGCATGAATGTTTGACTAGAAGTGATTCTATAATCTTATACTGAATGTTTGATTGGAAGTGATTCTATAATCTTATGGTGCAAGTTGAATAAGAACTTAGCATGTTGATTGAATATTTAGTACAATTTTGCAGGAAAAGTCTGCTGCACCCGTGACCAAAGAAGAACTTGGAAGAGCCACTTGGACTTTCCTTCACACTCTTGCTGCTCAGGTCTTCTTAGTACCTTTCTTTCGTGATTTCACTTCATCTTTGGCTTCTCATTGTTGTTATAATTGTATACGTTTTTATTATGATAATGCTACTTGCATAAAGTCATATTATCTTAAATTGGTGTTTTTATGCTCTGTTTTTTTGGGCCAAAAAAAAAAAAAAATAGTGTTTTTATGGATGAAGGAAAGGAAACATTTTGTCAGTGAATTAATTTGCATTTATACTCTTTCAGTATGAGTAATATGTAAAGTGTTCTACATGTTAACCTTGAGATAGATCTATATCAATTTTTTCATTTAACATAAATCTTTGTAGAGGTCATTATAATTTTCTTTCTGTACTGTTTTATATTATCCAAAGATGATATCTGTACTTCAAAAGAAGTGGTCTCACACAGCACTGTCAAAGAACCACCCACCAGGAAAGTGTGCATACAGACATACATACTTTTATTTTTTTGGCCCAATACACACATACATACTGACATATGTATATCATTTAATGTAGTTTTTAATTTCTTCAGTACCCAGAAAATCCAACAAGGCAACAAAAGAAAGATGTAAAAGAGTTGGTATGATACTCTCTTGCAATCTCCAAAGTTTGCTTTCAAGTCTAATACTTAAATACATTTTTCTATTCAGTTTTTATTACTGTTGCTCACATCCTAGAAAGCAAAGAGTTCGAAACTCTACTTAAGAACAGTTTCAACCACAATTCTTGTATAAAATTTTACTTAGTGTTCATGGAAACTGGAATTGTAGAAGCAACTTATTATCTGTCTTGACTGGTGAAACCAATTAACAAGAGTGTATTTGGCATGCAGATGGCAATATTATCTAGGATGTACCCTTGCAAGGAATGTGCTGATCACTTTAAAGAAGTTCTGAGGTATGTTGTCATACTATACCCTCCATCTGTTAGTGGTTAGAATTTTAGTCAACCTCTTCCATCTACTTCTCTTTTGGAATGTATAAAGAATAAGATAACAACTTCGAATCCCAATCTTCATTCTGCAAGCTCTAATACTTTGCATGTAAATGTAAAAGTAAGATAAAAGGAGGTAATTTTTAGAAGTGCCATGCTTAGGCCTAATTATTGGCATTCTAATTTCCAATAGCTCTTGCACCCCACAACTCCTCCTCCCATTGATGCAGCTTGTTCAAAACTTCAAATCATAAACACACTGCACACTTGGTGTAAAACATGATTTAATAACTAATATTTAACTATATCCAAGTTTTCAGTGGATTATTGGTATAGCTATAATTCAAGTGAGAACGTGTCTTAAATTAAAGTCATGAATTAAAGTCAGTTATTTCATTTTTCATTTAGTTGGTAGTTAATCTATCCATTCCATTTATGATTTATCTACTTGAGAAATTGAGGGAAATGGAGAGAGGGAAAGGTAAGAATACTTCATTCAAGTCTGGTGATATCTAGTTCTATTTACTTGTAATTTTCTAAATTGTTGGGTGGATTTCTTTCTTCAAATTAAAATAATAATCATACAATTTGGCTTTTATATTTCTACTTGCCAAACATCCCCTTGCTTTTAACGTTTATATTTACTGATGGGTGTATTTATTTCGGAGAGGAACTAATGGATTGCCTCTATATTTGCTTGGCAGAGCAAATCCTGTACAGGCCAGATCTCAGCATGAGTTTTCCCAATGGCTATGTCATGTGCACAATGTTGTTAATAAAAGGTAAACTGTATATTTCTTTATAAATTGAAGAATCTTTTTTTAATCGAATATATGCCTATCTGGATGGTTACACATTGAATGAATTGAATTCTTCCTAACTTTAAGATGTTAATTAGACATGGCCTTAAAACTTGGACCATATTAAGCTTGCCGACGTTGTATACTGAGTTTTGACATATTGCTGATTCTCAACAGCCTTGGTAAACCAGGATTCCCCTCTGAGCGAGTTGATGCAAGGTGGGGCAAGCTCGACTGTGAGCAGCGAACATGTGATGCACAAGGAACCACATTAACTTTTGGTGATATCTGAGAACGAAGGACGTGCTGGAGTTCACAGGGATTCAACAATGGACTGTGATTATATGTTTGCATGTTTAGTTTACTGGTCTGAAAGAAAAAAAAAAAGCCCAATATTTAACTATTATATAAAAAATTATGTGAATAATTGATTTAAATAGACTTTTCTTGAACACTTAAGAGATTTTTTCTCCCACATCTAAATGCGGTTCTTCTGTTGAGGCAAAAGCTTGTGACATGTTTGTTACTAGAAGCAAAATTTGATATGGGTATATACTTTAAGCATTATATGCATGATGTTAGTCTTCCTGTCTATATTACGCCTACCTCATGTCTTGTTATTGAATGGAAGTTACAGATCATGCTACCATATCACAAGTAAAGAATGATGGACCTCCTAAACAAAGATCTATCAAGTTTTGTGATGCTTGGATTTCACATGGGGCAATGAAATTTAAATTACATCAGCTACACAGGGATGGCAAGAGTAGATATATATGGATGCCCAATGTATAGATTTGTTCAGAAGCTGAAGAAGATGAAAGTTAAATTATGACAGCTACTCAGGACTACTTTGGTGACCTTGATGACAGATAGCTAATAAGGAGAAACATTTAGAGCTGGCAGAAAAAGATATTTAGCTGTCCACTTGAAACTTTGATTTGCAAATCAGAAAAAGGGAGTTGTAACTGAGTAGAGGGAGTTGTGGAAGATGGAAAATGACATAGTGAGGCAGAAGGCTAAGGTTAAATGGCTGAAGCAAGTTGCCCTGAATAGCTACCTTGAAAGCAAAAGGCAAGATAGCCTATGGATACCTTAAGAAGTAATTCTAGGGTTCTACAAGAATGTGTTCGGTGAATATAGAGTTGTATTGCAACATGTGGGTATATCAATTCTGCAGAACGTTTCTGTGCTAAATGAGGAGCAGCAGAAAGAGTTGTGTCAGTCAGTTGCGGTAGATGAGGTTAGGGATGCATTGTTTGCTATTGGGAATGACAAGGCCCCAGGTCCAGATGGTTTATCTGCAGGATTTTACAAGGCTGCAAGGGGTATATATTATTCATGAAGATGTTGAGAGGGCGGTGACTGATTTCTTTCAAACTGGACAATTATATATTGTGGCAGATAAATGCCACTAAAATTTGGGATGCCTAAAATTGCAAATCCCAGTAAGGTGGGTGATTACGGTGGAATAGCATGCTGCAATGTCATCAATAAGGTAATCTCCAAGGCAATGACTAAGTGATTGCAGCGTGTATTGAGTGGAATTATTAGCCTGACCAAGAAGCTTTTGTACAGAGGAGATCAATTGTTGCTAACATTTTGCTTTCTCAAGATTTAGTTAACAACTATCATAGGAAAATGGAAGCGGCCAAAAGTTGGATGAAATTGGATATCCAGAAGCAATTGAGGGGGAATTTATCAACAGTTCATGCTTGGGCTTGAATTTCCTGTACAGTTTGTTCAATGGATTATAAAATGCATTTCTACTACCCATATCTACATTTTGTTGGTGTTCCCGGGGAACGGTATGAAGACTAGAATATTATTGCAGAAATTTCCTCTGGACAGGAGGATGGAATAAAGCAGGCGTGCCTGTAGTTGTTGCGGAGTCCATTTGTTTACCAAGAGCTAAAGGTGGGCTAAGGATTAACCTGAATACAATATGGAATAAAGCTGTCACCTGTAGGAATATATGGACTTTATTTACAAATCCAGGGAGCTTGTGGACAAGATGGATAAAACAAAAGTTGAGAGGGAGTACCATATAGGTAGCACATGTCTCTCAAGATGCCCCTCGGACATGAGCTTATCCTGCAGACTAGACGGGAAACTTCCTTATTTTATGGCAATTGGTCGGGAGGCAATCCTGAATCAGTCAGACAAAAGGGAAGCAATCTTACCGTAGCCCATGAGCTTCAAAAGAAGAATGGTTTTGCGTTATCAATAGAATTATCTGTTTTGTGCCCAAAAAAAAAAAAAAAAATCCAAAGAAGAGCTTTTTCTTTTTGCCGTGAATCTTTTAATTTTAATCCATGATTAGACTATACACCTGACTTTGTAAGTCGATTGATAACAGTGTGTATCATTCAGTCCCATGAACTAGGTTCAATCCTCCCTCCCTCAAAAAATTGCCCTTTGATCAGAAAAATCCATGATTAGACTAACTGTTAGATCTACCAATAAACAAAAGTAATTTTATAAGTTAGGTTTGGGTTTGTCTTGGAATTGATACTTAAAAAAATTAATTTTTTTAATGTCTTATGTTGATACATAAGTGTGTCTTTCAAATTATTTAAAGAGGATTAAACTTGAAATGCATAAAAATTGATTGTGAACACTCTTTTCGTAAATTAAAAACTAGATCTATGAT